CGGGCGCGGTGGCTCAAGCCTGTAATCCCCGCACTTTGGGAGGCGCGAGGCGGGTGATCACGAGGTCAGGGAGATCGAGACCATTCCTGGCATAACATGGTGAAACCCCGTCTTACTAAAAATACAAAAAACTAGCCGGGCGGTGGTGGGTGGGGCCTGTAGTCCCAGCTACTCGGAGGCTGAGCCAGGAGAATGTCGGTGAACCCTGGGAGGCGGAGGCCTCATATTTCTTTTTTTTAGACAGTCTCACTGTGTCGCCCAGGCTAGAGTGCAGTGGCACAATCTCAGCTCACCACAGCCTCTGCCTTTTGGGCTCAAGCGGTCCTCCCACCTCAGCCTCCCAAGCAGGTGGGACTACAGGCACACACCACCATGCTTAGCTAATTTTGTTAATTTTTTTGTAGAGCTAAGGTCTCGCTTTATTGCCCAGGCTGATCCCAGACTCCTGAGCTCAAGTGATCTTCCCACCTCGGCCTCCCAAAGTGCTGGGACTACAGGTGTGAGCTATGTGCCTGGCCAATTTTTGTATTTTTAGTAGAGATGGGGTTTCACCATGTTGGCTAGGCTGGTCTCAAACTCCTGAGCTCAAGTGATCCTCCTGCCTCGGCCTCCCAAAATGCTGGGACTACAGGTGTGAGCCACACACCCGGCCCTCATACTTTCTGTTAGTCCTTTCAAGTGGGATCTTCCAAAGAACTACCAGACATAAGAAAACAAATACTTACAATTTTTTTCATAAATAAGGTCTATTTTTCTATCTCCAGTTCTGGGGATGCACGCCGTTGTTTTTTGAGGCTACAGCTGAGCTGGGGAGCAGAGGATAAAACCAGAGCACATTAAAAAACGACAAAATTCACCGTTCTTACCAAGATTCGAGATTTTATGTATCCCATTTGCTATCCGTCTCTTCTGCTCTGAAAGAACTGCTCCAGGGCAGAGATTTCTTGTGAGTTTTGCTCCCTCGTGTATCTCCAGGGCCTGGCACAGGGCAGGAGCTCCAGGATTTTGTTGACTGAGTTTCTGGCTGTGAGCCTGTGATGCTGAGCGCACGAACGTGGGGGCAGGTGTGGTTGTACAGGTGTGGGTTCAGATGGGAGTGCCGGTGAGGGATGTGGCTGTGGCTCTTCAGACCTGGGGTGTGATCAGGGCCTACAGGCCACAGCCAGGATGCCTCCCTGTCTCCCTGCAGAAGCGGATGCAGCAGATCATGGCCCACTGCTTTCTGGCCGCCAAGTCCAAGCTGGAGTGCAAGCTGGGTTACTTTGACCTCATCGGCTGTGACTTCCTGATTGATGACAACTTCAAGGTGCTCTCCTGGGTGGCGGGGGCACGGGAGGCAGATGCAAGGAGGCAGGGGCCATCTGCACACACCCTAACCACACTGGCAGGCCCCAGGCAGACTCTGCAGTCAGCCCCCACCCTGCCTGCATGCAGCCCTGGGGATGGATGTATCCACGAGGCTCACCTCCTATGCTGCTGGGACGGACCTGCACCCCCTCCTCAGGGCAGCCCCTCAGGCCAGAGCTTCAGACCCTCAGAGTTTCAGTGGACAAACAGGGGAGCAACGCTATAGAAAGGAAGCAATCTCCCAGAGCCACCTGGCTGAATGAGGACCAGGGCCTCTGCCCTGCTAGCCCAGTGCGCTCGGGGTGGGGAGGGTCTGACTGGCGTCTGGTGCAGGTATGGCTGCTGGAGATGAATTCCAACCCAGCCCTGCACACCAACTGCGAGGTCCTGAAGGAGGTCATCCCAGGTGTGGTCATCGAGACCCTGGGTGAGCCCTCCAAGCCCCCACCCCACACCCCCACAGCCTGCCCAGTCTTGAATGCCCACCCGCCCTCTTCCCAAGTTCAGACCCCCACAGATGGGGCTATTCCACCTTCTGTGTGGCAGCGCCGCCCCTGCCCCCACCTTCCCCACCCCTCACACCCTCCCCGCCCC